CTCTAAAAATAGGAAATAGCCAGGCATTGTGGCATGCACCTGTAGTCCCAGCTACTTGGGAGGCTGAGGCAAGAGGATCGCTTGAGCCCAAGAGTTGGACATTGCTGTGAGCTATGATATCATAGCTCTCAATTGAGGGTGACAAAGTAAGACTCTGTATCCAAAAAAACCCAAATTTAGGCCCTTCTTTCGGTCTAAGAATATATTCAACTATATACATACTGCATAGTAATTACAAATTATTTGAGAATAAAAAAATGTTTATAGTCTCAGCACAGGTATAGAAAGGCTAGGTTTAAAATTTTCTCATTTGGGCGGCAACTGTGGGTCAAAGGAGTAGGGCACTGGCCTCATATACCGGAAGTGGCAGGTTCAAACCCAGCCCTGGCCACAAAAAAAAAAAAATTCTCATTAGATCTGTGTGGAAGGGAGGCTGTCTCAATTGTAGACTAATTTTTCCTTTTTTTTTTTTTTTTTTTTGGAGACAGAATCACCCTCAGTAGAGTGCTATGGCGTCACAGGTCATAGCAACCTCCAGCTCTTCTGTTTAGGTGATTCTCTTGCCTTAGCCTACTGAGGAGCTGGGACAACAGGTGCCCACCACAACGCCCATCTATTTTGTTATTGTTGTTGTTGCAGTTTGTCGGGGGTCAGGTTCAAACCCTGCCACCTTTGGACCACTCCCTACTCACTGAGCCACAGGTGCCAACCTCAAGCAATTCTCTTGCCTCAGCTTTCCAAGTAGCTGGAAGCTAGACTACAGGCACCCACCACAATGCTCAGCTATTTTTAGAGACAGGGTCTCGCTCTTGCTCAGGCTGGTCTTGAACTCATAAGCTCAGGCGATGCACCCTCATTGGCCTCCCAGAGTGGTAGAATTACAGATTTCTCTCAGGTTTTATGCTAGCCATGTACTTGGAAAGTTCTGTCTTCCAATATAGATTATTTAGTATCGTTTTTCTTTTTTCAATTTACGTTATACCTGTTAACTTTTAAAGTAAGCATAAGTTGCTTTGTGTTCAAGTTATTCTACTTTCTTTCTTTCTTTCTTATGTGTTTACCATTTCTACCAACCAGTTTTGGAATTGATAAGAAATGTAAAGAAGTTGGAATTTCTGCACAGACTGTATCTTAGGACATAGAATCATATCCATGTTAGTTATTCTGGATTACTTGCCAAGCATCAAGATCAGTGTACTAACATTTGGTTTTTTACCTTAAACTTTGAAAGTAAAATTGGGTTACATTTGAT